AAGAGGAGAGGATTGCAGAGAGAGGAATTACACCAGATTTGCTTCAGAAAATGTTTGAACTGACCAGTAAGTTAGCTGAATCACTTGATACTAAATTGACAACTTTTGAAAAAAGAACGTTTGAAATGGAATTACGTACAAATGATGAACATGTAATTGCTAACATGTATAAACTTTTATTGAAATTTGAAACAGAAGAAAAACAAGTGAAAAAATGCCTGATAAAGTAGGCTAAAATTTTTGGTTATAATATACAGATGGAACAATAGAAAAATATGTGGTTGAAAGGATTGAAATTTACATCATGTTATAACCTTAAAGAGAAGTTTTATAAAATGATCTGCTGTTGGTATAGATCACCAGAGAAACTGTCTAGAATGTATAAAGGAACTTCAAATTTAAGTTGGAAACGTGAACAACAGGAAGGAACATTTTATCATGTTTGGTGGACGTGTAAAAAAGCTAGAAAATTTTGGATTCAAACATACACACTGATTCAGAAGATTTTAAAGATTAATATGCAACTGAGACCAGAGGTTTTTCTTTTTGGATCAATTGACAAACAGTTGGAAAAAAGTCATGGAACATTGTTTTTGTACATCATAACTGTAGTGAGATTATTGTATGCACAATGATGGAAAGATTCAGCACTACCCACCATGAAGGGGTGATTGGTGAAGATGATGGAACCTGCTGAGATGGCTAAATTGGCTTCTTTGATCAGAGAAAAGACAATTTCATTTACATTTATTGCTGACTGGAAACCCTTTTTGTGTAAAACAGAAAAAAATGAACTTATGATTTATGGTTTTGATGATTAGACAGGATAAATTATAGAAGGAAGAGGGTTATGTTGTAACCATAGAGTAACAGATAAATTTGTAATTGTACTTATAACTGCTGTAAAGAAGATCGGAAGTTACTTCTTTGTATCGTTTTTTCTGTCTTTTCTATTTTTCTTTTACTTTTTTCCCTTTCTTTCTCGTTGATTTTTTTTCTTTTTCTTACTTTTTCTTACTTTATATTAGTTTGTATTAGTTTTTATCTTTCTTTTTAAAAATCTTTATTAAAGTTATATATATAAAAATGAAGATGGCAGCAACAGTTGCTGGCAAAATGTCAGGAAATCTGTTCTCTAGACCACAGTCACTAAACCCTGAAGCCCAGTACTGCCCCCACCATCTGATTTAGTTTTAATGTCCTCACCTTACTATCTGTTAACTTATGTGCTGCCTAACCTTGGAGGCTTGGCATTGATATTCATTGGCTGCATTATGTGTAATATCTCTCTTATGGTCTTGCTTTATCCATGTTTATTGTTTTAATTGTTTTTAATCAGTTTTGTAGAATGTTTTAATTGTAGGTTTTGTTGTACACCGCCCAGTCACTTTGTGTGAGATGGGCGGCCCTATAAATTTGACAAAATAAATAAATATCTAGAAATAGTAAAACAAGCTAATACACTGAAGTGACATCCCTCTTCCTCTTTTCCACAAATATGGCATTCTTAATGCTAAAGGAGGCTATCAGTACTTATGTGGAAAGAAATGTTCTGGCATTTTCTGAAATACGGTTAGAGTTTTGGTGATTTTCCAAGGGAAGCTAGCCTGAATAAGGTCAGGCTCCTAAGAGCATCTGCCTTTTGAGGACTGAACTTGTGATAACAAGACTCTTTTAGGTGAACGTAAAAAGCCGTAACGCCTCTTGAAGTGCTGCATACAGTCTGTGCTAGATCTTTACTGAACACGTCTAGCTTAAATTGTGCAACGGGCAATAATTTATTTCCATTTTTCCACTCTCTGTTCTTCAATAGCACTTTTGGATTGATTGACTCTCTCGAGGGCCCTTGTTTTGCTGTTACTGTTTACAACATGGTACAAAGCTGGGGGGTCCTTATTGGGGACTCAGTGGCCATCCCTGAACCTCATCTTCGGCACCATCACATCCAGCACCAGAACAAAGTGAGTCTGTTCCCTGCCCGCCTTTGGTCTGTCCCGGTGTCATTGTCATGAATAAAATTCAAACTTAATCAGAGCCCACAACAAATAATCTAAAGATTGTAATGGGCAACATGGACTTACTTAAATAGAAAAGTATTGGAAATATTCACTTGAAAACAGAGACAGGCGGTCCAGGGTATATAAGCTTTCATCTTTTTCATACCTTTGCATTCTTAATGAGTTGTACTGATAATTCTCCTGCCTGTTATTTGGGGAGAAAAATGTTTTAAGGGAAAATACCTTTGCAAGCCAGCCATAATAGTTAGGCTTTAAGTCTTAAACCAGTGTTTTTTACAAGTCTCACATTACCTGAATTCTTCCATCTCCTAATCCTTTGTTTTCCCTGCTTTTCAGAGTTTTACTTTCTCTGGCATCCGTGTTGAAACTCCTCTGCTTCTGGTGGTGAATGGCAAAGTGCAAGGATCCCAGAACCAGGCTGCTGCTACCATTGCATACCAGGCACAAAGTGAATGAGGGGGGACAAAAGGGCAAGATGGGGATAACCCCCCTGTCAGCTACCTCTCAGAGTAGTTTTTCAGTTGTTTAGAGAGAGGTTGGACTGATTTGTAAAATATATTCAGCCATTAAGTGAAGGAGTGAGAGAAAAGAGACTGCAGAATGTTTGCTCAAACTGGGTGCTTAATCCCCACCCCTCTTGTTTTTCCTCCCAAGTTTCTCTTCCACAGACCCTGGTTTCTGTGTTATCTTCTATTGTACTAAAATGAGCATCTCCAGAAAATCAGGGGCTGCTCATTTTGTTCCCTGTCTCTTTCATTTTCTCCCCCTCTTGGGAGTCCTCCTTTCATCTTCACTCTTGCTTTGCTTCCATTGCATTTAAGTTTGGGTAGCCAGTCACCTTAGGTTCTGCCTTTTGTAGATTCCATTCATCCGGATCAGACTCAGTTATTTCTGCAGTCTGTTACTGAAGTCAGAGGGACTTAGGTTACCCTGACTACGCTAAATCCCACTGACTTGGGAGTGAGTATGATCAAGTCTACATCCAACTCATTATTTCTGTGTATATATAAGAGATACTTCCTGTATTTATTTGATATTATTTTGAGATTGTTTTTGTAATTTTTGTATACTTTTCCCCCAGACTCCTGATCTTTTCCCTTCCAATCCAATAAAATGTGTTCTTTGCCATAATACTTCTTAACTGTTTCCCTTTATGTAGAATGGTAAAACAGCTATTTTAATTAGAAAGCATTAAGGCCAATGAAAGCATATCCAGTGTTGTTCTCATAGTGCTGTGCCTAATAGATGGCGTTGAAGAGAACCGATTGCCTAAGGTGAAGGTGGTCTTCATAGCTGAGCAGGAATGTCTGTTTTGATAGCATGACCAATCAGTTGCCAAAGAACGGGGGAGAAATAGGTCATCGTGTGGACTGAATCTGCCTTCTCTTCATAGCAAGTAATTTTATTTGGTGGCCCTACCAAATTGTGATCAAGAAATGGTTAAACGTTGGCCCACGGTTGCACTTATAAATAAAAGAAAAAGCTATTCAAGTGGTAAAAAGTAGACAGATTGTACACTTTGAAATTTAATTTTGATTTCTTTAGTTATCTGTAATGTGAATCAGCAGTTCTATATGTATAATATGCATATGTAAAGAGTAATGGTGGTCACATCATTAAGTTGAGTTTCACTCATGCTGACATAAATGGATGCATCCATGAAGTTTCCTTGGCAACGATATGGAAATAATTGCCTTGGGTTTTTAATTTTTTTTTTTTTGTCTAAAACAATGTTTCTCAACCTTGACAACTTTAAGACATGTGGACTTCTACTACTCCAGGAACTGATAAAGAGTTAGGCTTGTTAGACTCTGTAAGAAACAAACTCCAGTAACTTTAACTGTCCTTTGTAGAAAGGAATTGTAATGGCTTACACACACAGGAGAATTTCAAATAGTCTGTCACTGCTGAATTTGTCTCTTTTGGTATAAAGACTGGGTTGACGTACCACACTAAACCATATACCCACATAAGCATTTATTTATTTATATATTTATACTTCAGATTTGTCACTGCCCATCTCACTGTGGAGATGGGCAGAGATATATGATGGACTGTACTGTGTGAATTCAGTAACTTGCTTATTTAAGAAATCATGGTTAACCAAACCATGGTTTAGCGTAACATGTAAGTTCAGAGTCTCCATTGCTTAAAATTCAGCGTCATACCAATTCCCAAATTAGCATGTACTATGTGAACAGATTCCTTGACCGTGTTGCCCTGAAGAACAGGGTAACATTCGTATAACCTTTCTTGAACTCTTGACCGCAAAGGGTAAATGCTGTTTAATTGCTTGGCTTTGGCACTGTAGAAAAGATAAACTGCTACAGAGAGCTGGTGGTTTTAATTGGCTCCCGAAAGAGAGACCAAAGGCACATGTTCAAATGTAGCACTGCTTAATGATGCTGAGATGTTTTTCTCTTTAACTAGTTTAACTCTTGCGAAAGCCGCTGGAATGTCCCCTTGAGAAAGTGGCAGTTCCTTTTGGAGTACAGTCATGTATGAAATAGATGCTTAGACAAATGTGAGGGGAGAGTGGTGGATTCAAGCCAAGACTTTTGATTTTCTTGTCTACATTTCTCACTTAGGAAGAAGACCATGATACCTGGGTCATTTTGCTGTTTCCTGCCATTAAAGATGGCTAACTAATTATTCATGAAAATAACCTTTGGGGTGCTTTTCCAAGAACAAACTCAGTTCTTGTACTTGAACAGGAGGCAAGCACCTTAGTGACTTTAAGTGATCAGACAGGATTGTGACAACTGCTAAAAGTGAATATGCTAATTTTTCTGGCCAAAGGCTAAAAAATGCATAGACCAAAACAAAAATATCAACAAGACTTACTTTACATTGAATTTGATTACTCCCTGTATTTATGATAATTTTCTCCTTTAGCCAGCTTAAAATTAACAGTCTAGTGGCAATTCTTCAAGATGTTTTTGGAACTTTATGTAAGACTTAACATCTCCATTGTGAGTCATTGTTCAACATGGTTTATTGAAAAACACATTTTATTCTTTTTACACAGCATGTTAACCCATAAACCATGGCCTACAAATCACAGGGGTTAAGTACACACAACATGATATACTGTAACATTCACGCAGTTACAGCGGGCATCTCACGAGTGAGGGGAAAGAAGACACCAAACTGATTCTCCTTTGAGGGGGATGAGAGCGC